TCTTCTCTCAGGATTAGACTGTCACACTCTGTCCCATCTGTGCCTCAGCCGAAAAGGGAGCTTATTTTCATGGAAAATGAAGGGGAGGTCTAAGAGAAAGAGCCCAGGAAGGCCAGACATCTTCTCCAAGACAAGGAGAGCAGAAAAGGCCCCAATGGGCCAGGGTGGCCCCAAGTAGAGTGGGACAACAAGAATCCTGAGTTCAACTGAGTCTTGGCAGAGGGTTTGTTAGAAGCAGGGCTAAGCTTTGTCCTCTCTGGTCACTCAGGCCAGTTCTTTGTGGTTACATTCAGGTTCAGTGGCCAAGAGTAACTTAGGAACGGCCTTGGTAGCTCCCCCCTGGTCTGTGTCAGCCTCACCTTATGCGTTAGTTCCCAGGTCACAGAAACAAGACTTGATCTCACACAACAGGGCATAGGTCTATTACTGTTCTCTGCAAGTTTCCCATCTGCATCCTGAGGCATGGCTAACCTTTGGCAGTTCCCAGAACATACTAGAAGTTACATCCCAAGTTCCCTGGAACCTGTGCTGTGCCTCCTATGAAGGGGTGTTTCCTTAGGGGACTGAGCATCAAACACATCGCCTGGTTCATTGAACTCTCCCATTATTCTTTGATGGAATTGTACTCTGTTCTTTTCTTTCCATATCTCATTCCCTTTTACACTTTTCCATCTCCACTGCTGGTCACCACTCTGCGCACTTTAGACGTATTATTAATATATTACATCTATCCTCTTCTCAGTCATTAATGAAGATGTTAAATAATTCTAAACCAAATACTCACCCATTGGGCCCGATGGGACACTTCCCTTTAATTAGTTGTGTTACCTTTCATCTCTCTTATGTCCTTTGACTTCAGATTTCCTGCGGATTTTGAATCCATGTGACTTTTCATCCAGTCCTGTTTGAACTAATTCATGAGTGAGAATTTGAGAGATGTTTTACCAAGTGTTGATTCAGGTCCAAACCTACAGAGAGCTTCACTATATTCAGATTTTTCCCCAAAAAGATTAATAGAGCACCATTTGTTCTTAATAAACTGTGCCTTCCTAATGCACCTCTTTCTAATAGTCTTTTACCCATAGTGGTATTTTCTCCACTAATGTCATGGTAATTTTTAGCTGTGTTGGTGTTAGACTTCACAAAAGGTACTTGTGCCATGAGAGTTCATCCTCAGACGTTTTCCAGGAGAACTGTTGGAGATAGGTTATACACTTTCCAACAACTTAGTTTTTGAAAAAGAAAAATAAGCAGGTATTCTACAAACCACCTAATTAAGTAGTTTCTAACGAGCTTTCTTATCACAAAACAATGAGAAACCTGAGCCTATTTTTTTACAAAATAATTTAAAACCTACACACGTCACTCAAAAATAGTCCTTCACTATAAAATGGAACAGGAAGTGGGCCTGTCTGAGGTTAGTTGGTAGAGGGTGGTAGGCTGGGATGGTTACAGTCAGCTATGTCTTATGTGATGTAAGGAAACCTTGGATATAGGGAGGAAGAGCCTCACTGTAGAGCTCTGAGAAGTCCTGGCTGTATCCAGTGCAGCGATGGTTTTCAGCTAACCCTTCTGGGTGAGCTTGAGGGTTGGCTACATCATGTCAGGTTGTGAAGTAAGTTTAAAGTACAAAGTCAGTTCTAACGTACTGAGGGTGAAAACATTGTGGGAAAGGTTGTTCCTTGCCCTTTTTTAAAGTTATCAAAAAGTATAAAAAAAAGTCTAACAACTGTTGCAGCCATGAAGTACAGCTTATAACTTCTCTATCTTAAATTTAAAAGTAACATTGTCTTATGTATTTTCTTTATCTGGGGGTGGGATCGTCTTGGTAGCTTCTTAGCCTTCTAATTAAGATGAAGAAAACTTCTCCAGGCAAACAAAGGAGCTAATCTGACCCTTTTTGGAAGCAAACCATGAGCATCTGCTTCCACAAGGCAGGCCAGGCATGGACTCGGTCCTACGTGACCAATGGAAACGTTCTCTAAATAATAACATTTTTCAAATGAAATCCTTTTGATGTAGGAAGGCTGTTTCTACTCAAGAGGAAATAAGAAGTTAAGCAAACTTCATCCTCTGATGTTAGTTCTAGAGCCATTAAAAGAGCAAAATGTAACTGTCCTTTTTAAAAAATGTATTTTTTCTTCAGAAGTTTATAAGGCTCTTTATCATCTACTAAAAACACAAATGTAGCATGTACTTAGCATGTTTTCCATTTTTGATCCAGCAGACAACCACAGTATAAGTACGAGAGGCACCGAGTAAAAGAGTTGACTTGGATGAACATGTAGTGTTTATGATAGAAGAAAATTGTGATCTGGGGGAAGCTCAGTAGGTAAAGCACATGGAGTGTAAACATGAGGACCTGAGTTCATATCCCCTAAACCCAGGACAAGTTGAATTACCTGTAATTCCAGCACTCCCAATGTGAAACGGGAGGCAGAGTAAGGAGAGTCCCTAGAAGTGTATGCAGCAGCAAACAGGGTGGGAGGTGAGGGCTGACAGCCAAGGAGGTCATTTTTGACCTTGTAACACTCGCACGCACCGACATGCACACATGCACGCACATACATACATACGCATGTGTGCACAAAGTTTAAAAGACTTAAACACATGCACACATATCTTGCACCTCTAAGAAGACAGTGGTCTGCTGTAGAGCAGGGGCTATAAACTGTCTCTACAGCAGTAGTTCTCAATCATCCTTAATACTGCACTCTTTAATGCAGTTTCTCATGTTGTGGTGACCCCCAGCCAGAAAGTTATTTTCACTGCTGCTTCATAAGTGTAATTTTGCTACTGTTATGAAGGGTAATGTAAGTGGTCTTATGTAACCCCTGTGAGTCGTTCAAACCCTAACAGGGCTGCTACCCATGGATTGAGAATCATTGGTATACAAAGAACCAGGCAGTGTGTGTTTTACACTGTGCAGGCTGCATAGTCTCTGCTGTAGCTATTCAGTTATGCTAGAAGCAGCTAGAGATGATACACATACTTCTGGATAATAACATGTGAACTTCATGTACTTTTATGTGTTTGAGATTCTATTCTCCTTTTGACATTTTTCCCCATGGGACATCCAAAAACAGCAGATAGGATTTGAACCCTAGGCTGTAGTTGGCTAGCTCTTGATCTAGGCCACACATACTCCATGCCTACCCTCATGTAACACCGTCCTTAGGATCCTATAGGTCTTTAGTTAGTAACTTGATCATTTGGCTGTCACCTACAAAGCTACACAGTAAGCCGTCTTATACAACACACACTTGACTTTTGTAAGGGATTTATCTTGAAGTCCTTGCTAATCCCCCCATCCCAAGTACCACTCTAGCAGATAATTTTGACCCATAAAATGCAGTCAAGTATAACAGAATAATTAAAGTGACCCTTTCAGGCTCTTAGTGACTCAATAAATACAGGGCTAAAGTCCTTTTAAAGGTGATTAAAATAAAGTCTGCCACAAAAATCAATTCCCTGTCACATTACATCATCACTGTGGTGACATTAATGATGGATTTACCATAATCTACAAAATCAATCCATAGTGATAAGGAGCGAGGGCTGTTCAGCTATATAGCACCTGTGTTTGCCAAGGGAGCAGAGTGAGAAGATGTTCGTTTCAGTGGGATATTCAGTGCAGCCAGCCAGCAGGGCTGTTCTAAGGGACATTAGACTTCGCAGCTGCAGGTCACAATCTGGCACCTGAAACAGCAGGTGGTCACACAGGTGCTAACCATCACAGATGCTGGACCAGTGACTCAGTGTCTTCCTGATGGACTTTAGGCTACAAATGGCTGTTCTCAACATTTGCGCTTTGGCCCCGTGTGACATGATGATTCTTCTCTAGACTTTCAGGTCACTCTTAAATGCTAAAAGTGTGGCCATGATGTTTATGCATGCTAAGATCTGCTACTTTATATTGGCCAGAATCTTGGAACGGGGAGGACGTGCGAGAGAACAGCAAGTAATCAGAATGAAAGATGATAGCATTTAAAGGAGAGATGTTTGAGGCAACTGGGTTGCTTGGTCTTGAAAATGGAAGCCAGAAGGATGGCTCAGTGGTTAAGAGCACTTCTTGCTCTTCCGGAGGATCTGAGTTCAGTTCTCTGCGCCGGTGTCAGTTGTCTCACAACAGCTTGTAACTGTAACTCCAGACAGCCCAACACGCTCTTCCGGCCTCAGAAGCACCTGATCACACATGCATAGAAATGAAAACAAATCTTTACAGGAGGGCAAGTGATTCCTGCCTTCTTTGGGTTTATAGGGGAAATTGGTGAGACTTCCCAAAAGGAGAAGTGAGGAGACGTAGGCCTGAATGAGAGGGAAGTTAGATATTAGATGGACCCATGACACTGGGTCTTGATTAAAGCAAGAGTGTGGGTCATATGGAGTATAGTAACTGCAAGTCACGGAAATCACGTGGTTGTTCACGATGGTTTAGGCTTCTAACTTTTTAAAACAGTGCCTCAACCAGTGGATTTCTTAAGACAGACCCCCACCCCTGCCCCATTGGAACAGTCTAATTGAAACAAACAGAAAATAGAAACTCCTTTGTAGGGAATTAAATGTATCTGGATTGGCATTTGTAGCAACTGAATGATGAGTCTGGGGCTGGCTGACCTCCAGTGGGAAGGCACCTTTACCTTCTCTGCGCTTCACTCAAGCATCATGAGCCTTAGGACAGGGTAAGGCAGGGAGCTCTCCCTCAGCTCCAGTGACAGCTCACTCCTCAGATAGAATACCAGAGTTCTTCAACTGTCTTATGAGACAAAGACTAACTGGTTTGACCTCATGCTGTCACATGTTGAAAGACACAAATCTTCAGCCCTTTTCCTTGAATTCACTGATTTCGTTAAACACTATCTGCTTGTGCTTACAAAATGTGATTTCCTAGTGAGTTCTTTAAACTGCAAAACATTAACAGATTCTTTTTTTGGAGGGGACAGGGGGACAGTGCCATTTCGTAGATTTGATCTGCTGTTTTAATCTTTTATTTACAACAGGTCTTCTACGTTAAAGCCATTGAGCCACAGAAAATATCAACTTTAGGCAAAAGTAACGTGATAGTTACCGGAGCAAACTTCACCCAAGCGTCCAATATCACCATGATCCTGAGAGGAACCAGCACATGTGACAAGGATGTGTGAGTCGATACACTAATAATTGTTGGTGCACGTGACAAGGATGTGTGAGTTGTTACACTAATAATCAATAGTTGATACATGTGACAAGGATGTGTGAGTCGATACACTAATAATCGATCTTTGATAAAGTCAAAACCTGTGCCAAAGCAATGTCAGGAGGCTTTGGAGCTTTCTGAAATTAAATGATAATTAAGTATTTTATATATACAGTAATTATAACAAGTCATATGTCTTTAACGATTCATTTGAAGTTTAGGTGGGAAACCCTGCCCTGTGTTACTTCTCCTCCCTCCCCCAAATCTCAGCCTACAGCATCTTGAGGGTGTTGGCAGTGGGAGCCTTGACTGATTTTCAAAACAAAGTCAATTGTATATAGAAAAAGAACTAACTTCAAATATAGATGAATCCCTTGGAAATTGATGGAGAGTTTTATGGAACCACTCTTTCAATATGCTACCTGTAGTTGAGAAAAATGGAAGTAGAAATGTTGCTCATTGTAGCTTTCTTCTCTTGACTGGATTAGTTTCCACGTCAAATAATTAAATTACTGGGGAATATATTTGTCGTAAAAAATACCCCAAATAAATACCAGGTGAATGTGCCCCTTAAAGATAATGATATCTGATTTCTTTTTTCCTAACAAGAAAAAGTATTCAGTTTTTCATTAATATCCTTAGGGGAATTATTACACCTTCTCTGAGGGGAAAATACTAGCATTATATAATAATAACACCATAACAGATAACTTTAGTTTTCTGCTTATTAACTTTTATAAGTTTGGACCAATTTAAAGCTTAAAAAATATTGCAATCTGCATGAACCATAACACTGAGCTTATTTTCATCATGGAAATGCATTTAAGACAATCCGCCGAAGCATGATGTTTTTGTTTTTAACTACAAAACCAGATTTGTACAGCACTGTAATCTGCCACGCTTAGTTAGTGAAGTTTCTGTTTTAATTCATTGGTTGCACATCAGCACCCCCCCTCCTGCTACTGCAGTAAAGCTGAGATACCCATGATCTCGATGGGGAAAGGTGTCCATCACAGGCTTTCCTCTGTACCAGAGTGAATCAACACAATTAAAGCCTGTATCTATGCAATGTGGGTACCTTATGTGTGTCATTCATTCTGGCTAAATACCTTATTGCAAAAATCTTTCACTTTGTGCGGTGCAGTCTGTGACGTTAGGCACCTGTGCACTCAATGAAAGGCAATCACCTTGCTGCAAAGAAGTCGTTTTGTAGCATTACCCTGTTTCTGGCTCTTTATGCTCTCATTTCCATTCTGAATGCATCTTGAGATGCCACAGTTATTAAATTAAATGACTAAGAGACATTCCTGCATATAGCATTCCACTAACCACATCTGTATGGTGAACCCAGGTTCACAGGCAGTATATGTAATAACGCAATTAATCTCATACATGAGCCCCATGGTGATGCCAAACTTTCTTAACATGGACTTTTGAAGCGAATGACTATTTTTAAGAAAAAAAAAGAGAGAGAAGTATAGTAGTGGAATGATTTATATCCCTACCTTTTGCCTTCCAAAATTTATAAACAAGCTGGTGTCTTAATGATTTAGGGATGAACTTCCTAGAGCTCTGCTTTAAATAAATAGAAGCCTTAGTATATTTGGGGCAGGGCACAAACAAACTAACTCAGGTGTCTTTCAAATTTGCTTTCTCCAAAGGTGTAGCCATGACATTGGATTAATAATCACATACACAATATCCTTTAGTAAAAACAGATTGCCCTGTAGCATCATTAGGCTGAGCAGCTAGCAAACAAATGAATGTGTGCTTTAGAGAGTCATGGACACAAGAGTCACTGCATGGTACAGAGGGACTGTCATGGACACAAGAGTCATAGACACAAGAGTCATAGACACAAGAGTCACTGTAGGGTACAGAGGGACTGTCATGGACACAAGAGTCATAGACACAAGAGTCACTGCAGGGTACAGAGGGACTGTCATGGACACAAGAGTCATAGACTCAAGAGTCACTGCAGGGTACAGAGGGTGTGTCATGGACACAAGAGTCATAGACACAAGAGTCATGAACACAAGAGTCACTGCAGGGTACAGAGGGAGTGTCATGGACACAAGAGTCATGGACACAAGAGTCATAGACACAAGAGTCACTGCAGGGTACAGAGGGACTGTCATGGACAGCTTTGCTTTGACTGTTGAAGGGCATCGATCCCAGGTCTGGAAGCTGGGGAGGGGTGCCAGCCCCATGCCCATTGGTTCTGAGACTTTGGGGTTCCTGAAGCAGGCTCTCTGCTCTTCGAAGGGTAGAACTTCTAGGTCTGTCTGGGGTTATACCTTCCCAGTGCTTGACTGGAACTACTTTAGAAAGAAAAAAAACTTTAATTATGGAAATGTCAGCACATGCAAAAGAAAGAAGCATATAAATCATCTTATTTACAAACTTAAAAGTTGTGGACATTCTCCCAATTTGTTTCATCTTTTCCTTCGGTTTGTTTCTCGTGGTGGCCGGGCAGAGGGCACAGTGGCTGCAAAGTCTTAAAAGCAAATCCTGACACCACATCACTTCATGGATTCTTCAGTGCATCTCCGACAAGAGTAGTACCACAAAGTTAGCCATAATTCCTTAACTTAGTACAATGCCCCTCCTTGCCCTGGTCCATTAGGACTTCAGAGGGCAAAGGTGATACTTCTTCATTTCGCACTTCTAAAGGGAATGCAGATTAAAGATAGACACGCACACAAAAAAAGAGGAGCCTAGCCTGAGACAGCCACACCCAACAAGCAGCCAATGATGACATAGCAGCAGGCAACTGTTCTGATAGTTCAGGGCCGCCCTCAAGTGAAATCCATAGGTCACGTTAACAATCAACTGTGCTAAGTGTCAAGAGTTCCTTTTCTGACCCCTTTCTAGGATCCGGGTTAGCCACGTGCTAAATGATACACATATGAAATTCTCACTTCCATCAAGCCGAAAAGAGATGAAAGACGTCTGTATTCAGTTCGACGGTGGGACCTGCTCTTCTGCGGGGGCTTTGTCCTACATCGCTCTGCCACACTGTTCCCTGATAGTGCCTGCCACCACCTGGATCAGGTACCGCCTGGACCCACCAAGGTCTTGCCTTCTTCTCCGGAGGAGGGTCGTGTACATAAGATCATGGGCATCACACAGATCCACAGCCATGGTAGCTGCACCTAAATTTTCCTCTCGGTGCTCCTCCTAGGAGTTGTTCCTGGAAAAATGCTCGCCGTATGGCAAGCTGGTTGTCTCTTGTCACTTGAGCGCTGTGAACACAGCCTGTTTTTACTCCCCCGTGGCTGCCAGGAAACTCACAGCTCAGACGTTTGGTTCAGCCGCAGTGACCGTCCTTAGCCCAGGCTACTGCTGAACTCTTCTGTACCTTGTGCTCCTCCTGCTCGTGGGAATGGACTTCTCTTTCTTACAGCTCTCATCTTCGCACTTTTGGAGTCAGCTGTTTTGAATGCTTTGGGAGAAATATTGGGGTCTGCAAGTAGCCTCTACATTTCAAAGATCCTCCTTGAGAGTTAGAAATTCCAAAATAAACTTTTTCAGATAAATCCAATATATTAATGGGGGGGGGGGAAAGTCTCTCCCTAGTCAAATTTAATTCACATTCAGATTTTCGGAGTATAACCCCAAAGAGATTTTCTTCATCTCACATGGCGTGAAGTTAATTTTCCAATTACTCTCCGAGATAGAGCCTCTGACAAAGCATTGCAGGGCGGGGGGATGTGAAAAAGAGGGGGGGAAATCCCTCATCTTCTTATTTAAGATGAACGTGGCAGGTGGCTGTGTTTGCTGTTGGGTTAGTAAGCTGCCATGATAAAGAGTTAGGGCAGGGCGACTTCCTTCACATTGTGGGTCTCTAAGACGTGAGGAAGGTTAGCCCCTTCTGCGGCCATGTCTCTGCTCTGTTTGCAGGCAGCCATCTTTCCTGGTCCCTCCATCTAAGGCTGTGCCCTAGCCCTTTTCAGAACACCATTGTTGTGGGGTCCCGCCTGGGTCCCATTGCTGCTTTATCCCCCAAATAACACACAAGACACTGTATTAATTATGGAGCTGTTGGCCGTTTGCTGTGGTTTCTAATTGGCTAGTTCTGACTTGATTATTAACCCATAATTACTAATATACATTTTTATAAGGACTTAACTTTCCAAGGAAGCAGCTTCATGTGTCCTCTTTCCCTGATCACATGACGACGACTCACCCTTGACTACATTTCCCAGAATCCTCTTGCTTCCCTGTTGGCCAACAGTGCTTTATTTACATATACACAGAAGAACTTCCCCATCACGCCATCAGTCCTATTAGATTAGCGTCCACCCCAATGAACTCGCTGAACTTCCATTGCCTCTCAAATGGCCTTACCCCGGGTCAGGAGATGTAGTTGAGTGGTAAAATACTGCAGAGCCTGTGTGAGGCCCCGGTTCAATCTCTAACATCACAAAATCATGTCTCTACCTACAGCCTCCTCTGAGCAACTGGGAGTCAGGGTTTCTGCACGCAAGCTTTGCAGCCCATTGGAGTGGGATAGGGAGATTGAGGTTTCAAAAGCAAGGTTTCAAAAGCATGTATCCCTCTGCTCTGAGACCAAGTATGCCCTATTATAAAAAAGTAGACCGGATGTGGCACTTACCACATACTCATGGCATATCTACTGACCTGGTTAAATCTTACAAGAACCGTGAGAGACCAACAGTGGGCTGTCCCTTTGGCAGGGGTGAACCAAGGCATAGGCACAGTTCAAACAATATACCCAGCTCTTTGATAGCTGAGCTCAGGATGAGTGGTTTCCACCACAACATTTTGTTTCCTCCTCGTGTCACTGTTGTCCTATCATGGCTGTGCTGAGCCTGTGTGTCTCAGCTGCTCCTTGTCTTTGAACTCTGAGCAAGAAGCAGGTGCTGCAGTCTGAAATCAGTAGAATATGCTTGGGCTGGTTTTCTAGTGATTGAGGCAGGTCATCAGATGGTCATATGGGCCCGGCCACCTTGTGTCTGGAGGGCTCAGGATCCATTTTCTTCTCTGCCTGCATGTATTGGCCTGCTTTTGTCTTTCTCCTGAATGTCGTCTGGGCCTCTGCCGGTGTTGGATCTGACACACTGGGGTTCCTGTCTGGTGACCTATGAGAATGGCCAGAGTTGTGGACAGCTACTTACTTCACACCCAATGACCACTTGGATGGTATCTGGTGACACACTGAGAATAGGGGAAGTCACACAGTGTGGTTTTGGTGAGATTTATGTACCCTCTCCTTGCACTGAGACATTGCATCTCAAACAAGAAATCAAACTTCAAATGTCACTTACCATTTTACCTTGTCCAACATGTTCCCCATCTCACTAAATAAAATATAATTGGTAGGTTGGACGCTTGATCATGAAAATTGTTAGCACGGATCATCTTCAGATAGATTAAACAGTAATCAAATGAAATTTTGTTCCATGAAATGCTTTTAAGGTGCAGCAGATGATCTGGTTATATGTGGCGAAATAGCACAAAAAGCTCAACTTCTGTTAAAGAATTTGGGCATTTTCCCAGATTTAAAATAGGCTCTGACCTGCATTTTTATAGTCTGTGTCTTAAAAACTATGAGTCTCTACCTAGTACTATTTAAAGACTTCTAAAACTACCTAGCATTTGAAATTGAATTTAGTTAATTGTCTTCCAAATATTACTAAGCTTAGCATTAATTGTGAATCACTTAATAGTTTTGTTAAGTATAAATTGCCTATGGCTTATTATTGTCCTTTCATTTCTTGCAGTGGTGGGCAAAATATAACCATCATGGGCAGGAATTTTGATGTCATTGACAACCTGATCATTTCACATGAACTAAAGGGAAACATAAACGTAAGTTTAAGAATTATTTTCACTAAACTGTGCATGTATGGAGGGGATATATTTCATTTCTATGACTTTGGCAGTATAAACTTCTGCTCATTTATGATATACATTGTCTGTCCTGTGACAGAAAGACTTCATTCTTGGAGTCAGTTGGGGTTGTCACACAGAGGAACAAGAAACAAATTCCGTATGATAAGACCGGCCATGTTCTCACTGTGTGAGACTTGTGTCAAGCCATTTTAATGAAATAATGCTTTTGCATGTGTGTGAAAGTCTTGGTGGATGGATAAGGTATGATTTACAGAACCTGTGAAGAGTAGGCAGTGGTGGTCCAACAGGTGGGGGTTGGTGACTTGCTGAAGTAACAAAAATTCTCTTGGTCTCATTGTCTCTTGCCCCCTCCCATGACGCCAGAGGAGAGACAGACTGTAAGAAGTGTCTGGTCCCTATCAGGGCTCAGTTCTCTGAGAAGAGTCTTAAGATTCTCCCAGGAGCCTATAGGTTGAAGCCATGGGTGCTGTGAGGAGGGGGTGAAGGAGGCAGCCGCACCCTGGTACCTCTAGGTGTGCTGTCAATGTAGGTCCTTCTTGATTGATCTTCCCTTCCCTTCCTCCTTCTCTGGGCTTCTTTCTGCCAAGGCCAGCAGAGCTGGGGATGCCAAGAGCTTTGTCCCAATTGCAGCCAGTGTGTGTTCAGGCCTAGAAACAGGAGGCATATCAATCTATCTTTCACATAGTCTTGTCCTACATGCACACACTTTCTGTCAGTCCCCAGCCTCACAGTGTGTCTGACTCTGGTCAATTCCCCATGATGGGATCACATTCAGTTGTGTTGTCACCCTTGACCTGTGGCACATCCTAAGCCAGTAGACATGGAGACATGTTCTCTTTCCCAAAGCACGTCCCATTGAGTGCTTTGCATACATACCTACTGTATGCAAAACATTTTGCTGCCTGCAAGAACAAAGGGTAAATGAGCTACTGCCCCCTCCCCCACCTTCCTGAAGGAAGATGGCAGACCTGCACTGAACTAGGAGAGCAGAGCTAGTGATGCTAAGTGCTAGGTCCTCTGATTCCCTCCAGACAAGAAACCCCATGAGTCCCAGTCCCAACAGGTGTGATGTGTTTCCCACTGAAAGTATGAGGGGATGGAGTTGAGACAGCAAATGAGTACTATGGGCAGGGCTGGACAGACAGGCTAGGAAGCAGGGGGTAACTGCAGGCACAGAAAACAGGTTCCTCACCAATTCTTGACTGAAAAACCACTCACATTTACTTTGTTGGAACCTAGAGGCTACGTAAGGGCAGATGATGGGAATGGCTGAGAACCATGAGGGGACGTGCAAGAGAGAGTCGTAGTAAAATTAGCACTTCATTCTGCAATAGCTCCCCATTACCCCTGGTTCTGTAGGCAGTGGGGGAGCCCTTGAGTGTCTTTGGCAAGAAGTGTATGAGTGTGGGTATCATTTTATCAGTGGTGCATAGGGTAGTTTGGAGAGGCAGCAACTCAGAGAGGGTGTTCATGCAGAGGTGTTCAGATATGGCTGAGCCATCCCCAAGCTGTGTGGAGCTCTCCACTGGACTGCTGTCTGCAGGGTGGGTCTAGTGGACTGGTGATGGTGAGGCAAGTCATTTCAACATTATTGTTGAAGAGGAGGTGGGGACAACAGTGTCAAATGGAGAGTATCAAGGACCAAGAAAGGATAACTAGACTCTGCCAGCAGCCTCAATTCCAGGGGTCAAAGAGAATAGGATGACCAGGGAAGGTGGCTAAGAAGTTGTTCAAAAGTAGGGGTTGGTCCCCACTACAAACAGATGGGGTCTTAGGATTATGAAGCTGGGGTGACCCTGTTACTCGTCCTTCTTTTAGGAAGTTGGTAAAAAGCCAGCATGTTGATGTTGGGGCTGCTTAGGTAATTGTGGTTGTGGCCCGGTGGCTTTCCACCCTGTCTCAGAAGAGCTAAGGCAGGGAGGAGGGCTGGAATTCAGAAACGTGGTGAGCTAAGGGATGGTGCATTTGCACTAGTGTGACTGTCTCCACCCTGTGTCCACGCCTTTAACTCCAAGCTTAGAGAAAAGGAAGAGAGGAGATGGCTCTTTGCAGAGTGTTAGTGCCTCCCCATACTGCTCTCCTTCCCTTCCTCTTTATTTTACAGGGCTAAGGATCAACCCCCCCCCACATGCATACCAGGGAAGCCCTCTGCCACTGACCACACCCCCGACACCTGCCAACCTCTCCTTCCATTACCTGCAAGCTTTCCGTGCCTGTCTGTCTGTACCCTTGAAAACGGCAGTTAACTTGTGGATTCTCTTTGTAAATAAGCCTGTTCATAAATTGGGCCAGGCTTTCTACCTCTGTTCCTGTGTCTATGCTCATTTCTTAAGGGACCTCCTGTCCTTTGGCTTTTATTTTCTGCTGTTTTCTGTTATGCCTGAAAAGCTGCTTCTTCCTTGTGGTTAGGAACTTCTGCTAACAGGGAGCCTCTGCCAGAACTTCCTCTGCTTAGGGGCTCTTCTTGCAAACACTCTGCCGAGGCTCTTTTGACACAGTGACTCAACCAGTTACAAGCAAGTTAGCAGCTGGCCGTGGCTCTCAATTACCTTCGTAAAGTTTCCAGGACTCAGCCACCTTGGTCCTTCTCTGTCCATCCTGCTTCTCTTCACAAAGCCTCCACTCCCCCAGGATGTCACCTGACAGCTTTCCTGAATGTCAATAATATCGATGATAATATGTGTTGAGTAGGCTAGCATGTGTGGAGTGTTTACCGCGTGCCTGTCAGACCCTAAGCGCTCTTGCAGATATAATCACATTCACCGGAGCCCAATTTAATTGGATGAGTATTTACCTCAGTCCATTTCACTGAGGGTTCATTTAACCCTATGAAGGAGTCTTGGTGTTGCTACTCTGGTTTTACAGAGGGAAAAAACAGAAGTTTCCTGAAGTTTGGTTTCTCAAGTCACTTAGCATATTTAGAGCTCTGGTCCTTCAACACCTAACGGGCTCTTTCCTCTCTCTAGGTCTCTGAATATTGCACGGCAACTTTCTGCAGGTTTCCAGCTCCCAATTTAAAGAGCTCCAAAGGGCGTACAAACGTTGCAGTGAAGCTAAGAGTCCAAGATACCTACTTGGACTGTGGAACCCTACAATACCTTGAGGACCCCAGATTTACAGGGTACCGAGTGGAATCTGAGATCGACACAGAATTGGAAGTAAAAATTCAGGTGTGCTTCTGTCTTTTATTCTCCGTGGGCTGCTCCCACCCCTGGCTGGACAGATGTGTGTGAGTTTCCAGTGTGCTCTGAGTCCCTCATCTCCTCTCCTTCATGTTCATTGCAGAAAGAAAATGACAATTTCAACATTTCCAAGGATGACATTGACATTACTCTCTTCCATGGGGAAAACAAACAATTTAACTGCAGTTTTGAAAATATTACTAGAAACCAGGACCTCACCACCATCCTTTGCAAGATCAAAAGCATCAAGAATGCAAACAGCATCGCTACCTCCTCTAAGAAAGTTCGTGTAAGTCACCTGGAAGTCCCACCTGTTGTCCTTATCTGAGTCTTGATAATTCCCTTCCTAACTCCCAGGTTGGAATGGGGTCTTTCATAGACTTTTTTTCTATTTAAATAGGAGATAAATAAAGCAGATACTGCAAGTCCAAGCATAATCCTACCAGAATAGCAGGCAGGTTCACCCATGTGCTTGTTTGAATGTCAAAGCTTTGAACACACCGTTGTCTGTAATCCTAATGAGCCTTGAGAGCTTTTGTGCTGGCTGGACCTTTAGACCATAGCATCTGTGAGCAGAATCCTCAGACCCACTGGTGCCTGAGCTGTCATTCTTTCTCTAAATGCAGAGGTGACATGTCTCAGCAGAAACCCAAAACAGAAGCCTCTTAGGCACAGGCAGGGTGGCACTAAACTCTGTCAGCAGCCAAATAACCTATGGTTTGCAAGTGGCTTCTTCTACTGTGGTCTCCATTGCCTATGTGCAGGTCGTCTTATCCTGGATGTGACTGAGGACCCTCTGAGAAGGGAAACATACAGAGTTGTTAGTTGTTTGCTCTTTCAAGTCAGATAGGCTCTGCCCAGTCTATGTAAAACATGCTCTCTGAGGCAGGGGCCAAGGCTCAGTGAAGAGTGCTTGCCTGTGGTGTGCAAGGCTGTAGGTTTAGTCTCCAGCATTACAAAAAGAAAAAAAGAACAACATTTTGCTTTGTGGTTAAAAAAAAAATAAGTAGATAGAAGACAAGAAACAAGAAAGAACATGTCCTAGAGGGAGGCAAAAATGACTATGTCCCAGCTGTGTTGCTTAACGGCTGTGTGGCCTGAGGTGAGGAGTTTGATCCCCTGACCCTCCCTTGTTTATCATTTTGGTAAAAGAGGTAGCAGTGATTACAAAATCAGCAGCAACTGATCCCACGAGGGCCCCACCTCCGTGGTAGTAGAGAGTGCATCAGTCTGCAGCTCGGCTCCCAGGTGCCTGTTCTGGGGTTCAAACCCAGCAGTGCAGAAAGCAGACAGAAACAGCTGCGTTCCAGGGGCTTCCCAGGGAGAGCGTGCAGTGAAGGCCAGGGTTTAAGGAGGACAGTGAGAATGGGAGGGGAAATCGGGCTAGCCTGTGCCGCCTTTCCACCTGACTGTGGAAAAGTGTGCCTGGAAGGTGACATTGGAGTGAGGGCCTCACGGAGGAGGAGGAAGAGAAGCCATGGACAGACTGGACAGACAGAAATACAGGATCCCAGCGGGCCAGCATAGCTGAGGGAGCAGGGCATCCTCAGGAGGTTAGGGAGTTCCCAGGGAAGGCCAGAGATTGTTGGGAGCTGTTAGCTATCGCCAGGGCCTTGGTGCTTGATTCTGGGCTGCTGCTAGAGAGATGATGAGTGTAGGGATGGAGTGGGCTGACGTCCTATAGGATAGAGACCTTACTACAGCCTACCATGGGTCCTGTCAGCATCCCCCTTCAGAGGCGACAGAGTGAGACAGGATGCAGACTAACATGACATGAGAGAAAAGCTGGACCACCAAGGCTTAGTGTTTCCCCAATCGGTTTTTCTTAGTGATGCCCTGGGGCAGCCAGGGTTTCATGGAGTTGTGCCTCAGTGCTTACGTGTGCAGCAGTGAGAAAAGAACCCAGATGCAGAGTTTTTCCCTTCTCCAGTTTAATTTCCGAGTTTTTCTTAGCCTCCTAGCCCCATCCTCCGCCCCCCCCAAAAAAAGCAGAAAGTGGAGAAGGCCCCCGGGGATCAGCTGATTAGCCTTACAAAACTGATTACTACTTTCTAAGTGAAAGTAGCATTTAAAACCTTCCTGCCTGATGCCAAGCGTTGGTGGTGCACGCCTTTAATCCCAGCACTCGGGAGGCAGAGGCAGGCAGATCTCTGTAAATTCAAGACCAGTCTGGACTACCAAGGGACAGCCTCCAAAGCCACAGAGAAACCTTGTCTCGGAAAAAAAAAAAAAAAAAAAAAAACCTTCCTGCCTGGAAGCAGCAGGTATGGGAGAGAGAGAAACAGAATCACCCCTGTAGGGAAAGACCACCTTCCGACACTGCGTTAGCCTACCTCTGCACTGGTAAGCCTCAGGACAAAGAGGGCCAGCATTTAAAACCTACAGATCCACCGCTTCTGTGTGTTTCTAGTGCTGGGACACTGCGCATGCCCATGCTGTGCTGCTCCACTGGGGCTAACGGAGCCAATCTGTCCCATCAGGTCAAGCTGGGGAACCTGGAACTCTATGTGGAACAGGAATCTGTGCCTTCCACGTGGTATTTTCTGATCGCACTTCCTGTCTTGCTAGCCATTGTCATCGTTGGTAAGTGCCCTGTTTCATTTTTGTCCGAGAAGTTATTCTCCGAGGCTTCTCAGCGGGCAGGCAGATCTTCAGCTTTTAGGAGCTTTTTGTTTTCATTAACTATTAATGGGTGAAAAGTCCAACTCAAAACTTTGGGAAAGGAATAAAAAGCGCTTGTTGAGACCTTTCTATCGAGTTCTTTGTGTGCGTCGTTAACGAAGAGTCGGCTTACAAGATGGCACCGTGTGTTTGAGAAATAGCCAGCTGGTTCCCAAAGTCCTTGGGACCATTTTAAAAACAAGTCTATTTGGGGACTCCCAGGACTTGGTCATCTCCTTCTGCCTCCTCAGTCCACCAAGCTCCATCTCCCGTGTCCTGTTTTTCCTGGGAGAATCAGGCTTTGCAAAGTATGCCTGCATTACCGATTCCAACGTGGGAAGGGAGGTACCAAATGACTGCCATTGGCTGAATCTGGCCTACCGATACGTTTTATTGGGTCCTCTGGCAAGTCTTTTGTTTTTGGTTTTTGTTTTTAACTGAAGAAGTTGACATTTAAAACTTAGGTAGTACATTTTAAATATTTGTTGAAAATTGTGAAATGTCAAAACTACTGAATCTCAGCTGTTAGAGCTGTACCACTGCTAGTCATTGAAGACTAAGTATGTATTCCCTGGGTGTCCACCATGGTCTCTACCAACTCGTAGGAGCTCCGCCCATCTCTCTATAGCTAGTGCCCCCAGGCACTTTGTTTGTGACCTTTCTTCTCCTTCATCAAACGGTGTGGCATTTCATGTTAACTAAATACGTGTCTTTTGACAATGTAGGGAAATGGAGGCACCGGCCAGTGTCTCCTTGTACCTTCTCACCGCCTTGCTTATGCGTTTGTTTCCGGCGCTGTTTTCCTTTGTTTCTATTGAGCATTGGCTACGATGCTGATGTCTGGGCCAGTCTCTGGATTGAGAGATGAATTAAGGGCTGGTGCTTTTCCTGAGCAATTCACTCTCCTGTGGGGGAAGATGTTACAAGTGTGATTAACCGGTTTGGTGAAATGAATTTGCTTTTCAGAAATCCTATTTTGCTTTGTCAATGATTATTTCGGGTACTTTTTAATGCTCTCCCCAAGTTGTCTACCTCTGTCATGTATTTGCGATCTAAAATTTAGCTTGACATTTTAATAAAGTCCTGGCTGACATGGGCTTCGATGAGGAAGATTGCATGCATAAATGCCGAGCCAGGCTTTGAACATCTGCTGCTGTTAAATGCTCAGATCTCTCAGACTCACCAGGTAGTTATGTCCACTTCGTGACTTCTAGGAGTTTCTAGAAGTCTCCTGACTTTGTAGAGGTCATTTTTTGTCCTTTAAAGTAATTTGCAGAACCTCTCAAAACCACCCCATTCTGACTCATTTGAGGAGGACATATGTCATCATCAGCTACAGTAAGCACACCCTAGTCTTCCGGTCATGCCATTAGTGAAAACACTAAGCATACTTAGCCTAAGCCCGCCACCAACAGAGCAAGGAAACCCAGCCTGCTGTGTGAATGCACCAGCTGCCTTTACATGCTTAGCCAGGGTTGTTCAAAGTAACTTCCTGGAGAGTCAAGGTCCCAAATGATATTCCTGCAAAAGGGGGTTTTCTGGCTGGGTAGGTTTGGGCTTTACTGAAATATACAATCCTGATTAGGGTAAGCACTGTTGAGGTGATGGAGAAGTCTAGAAAAGAATTCTATGTAGCTGCGTTGAACAAAAATTGTTTGTACTTGCTGGTAGCCATTCCTTTGTGTAATTTAAAAAGAAATCTCTCTCTCTCTCTCTCTCTCTCTCTCTCTCTCTCTCTCTCTCTCTCCCTCTCTCTCTCTTTCTCCCTCCCTCTCCCTTCCCTCTCTCTCTGCTTCTGTGTGTGTGTGTGTGTGTGTGTGTGTGTGTGTGTGTGTGTGTGTGTGTGTGTGTAGGGGCATGCCCAAATACTATAGCAAACATGTAGCTGGTAGAGGACAGTGTGTGTGTGTGTGTGTGTGTGTGTGTGTGTGTGTGTGTGTGTGTAGGGGGCATGCCCAAATGCTATAGCAAGCATGTAGCTGGTAGAGGTCAATGTGTGTGTGTGTGTGTGTGTGTATGTGTAGGGGTGTGTCCAAATACTGTAACACACATATAGCTGGTAGAGGACAGTGTGTGTGTGTGTGAGTGTGTGTGTGTGTGTGTATGTGTGTGTGTGTAGGGGTGTGTCCAAATACTGTAACACACATATCGCTGGTAGAGGACAGTGTGTGTGTGTGTGAGTGTGTGTGTGTGTGTATGTGTGTGTGTGTAGGGGTGTGTCCAAATACTGTAACACACATACAGCTGGGTTTCTGACAGGGTTTCTTGTTCATCGCTGCATCACTGCATACAGCCGAGGTGGCTGGTCTTGAGACTTCTGGGGAGTCTTCAGTCCCTGTCTCCCATCTTGCTGTGGGTGTCTCTGGCTTTGCATGGGGTCTCAGACCCTCACAGTTGCATGGTATACAGTGTACTGACCATTTCCCCAACCTCTTTTGTGTATGCCTGTTCTATTATCCTTCTGGGATAATAGAAGAGTTGGCAATTGCTAGTTCTTCGGGTCGATGTGATTTCTTGATTTACCGCTTGTAATCTCTTCTACATCTCAGCTCTTGTGGGTAAACGCAGGCAAGCACAGAGATGCTCAGGGATTTGCTCAGGGTCACACAGGTAGTAAAGGAAATGACAGAGCGAGGCTATAAACCCGAGTTCCAGGATTCATTCCGTTGACTACCTAGATTGCCTGATTCAGAGTAATGATACGGACCCAGGCAGTCGGCTGGGGGGGCTCCCAATGGTTTGCCATTTGTCGCCCTTTTTGAACTATGCAAGTTAAGCTCTTGTAGTCAGAATGGACCTGTTATTCTCTTCTGCATTTGCATCACTGCTTTGTTTCTCCAGAGATGTTGGAGAAAGAATGGAATGCTACAAATGGCCAGTGACTGCAGGGAAACTTAGCTTTTTTCATTACTTTCCAGGCAGCTGGGATCTTTGGTTACAAGCGAAGGTTATTTGATTTCATTTTCACTTTAAGAGGAGTGAGTGGATTTTTTTCTTTTCTGTTACATTTAATATCTTCCTCTTTAGAATGACATTTATGGAAATGTCCCTTTAATAAAAATCCAGCTTTTGTTTTTCCTTTTGTTTTTGTGGCATTGGAGGTAGAACCAGGGCTGGTGACATGCTAGGCCATTGGGGACATGCTAGGCCATTGGGGACATGCTAGGCCATTGGGGACATGCTAGGCCATTGGGGACATGCTAGGCCACTGGGGACATGCTAGGCCATTGGGGACATGCTAGGCCATTGGGGACATGCTAGGCCAGTGCTCTGATGCCAAGCCAGACTTACCAGCTATTTTCTACGATTAGTTCTCTCTCCATCATCTCCCTGTTTCCTTCCCTAGTTCTCATTCCTGTGTTACTATGCCAACCTGACACAGTATCCCTGTCTCCTTAGTGGCTGTGGTGGTGACCAGGCACAAATCGAAGGAGCTGAGTAGAAAGCAGAGCCAACAGCTGGAACTACTGGAGAGTGAGCTCCGGAAGGAGATACGTGACGGTAGGCTCCGAGAGTTCGTTTGTAGAAAAAGAAGCCCCCTTCACTTTCATTTAAATTTTTGTCTTTACACGGAGAGTGCCACATAATGAGGACTGTTTGTATAACAGACGAAAACCGAACAGCAGGGTATGGGCCTGGCTTTGTGTCTCATTTCAGCTCTCCTCTGCAGCCAACTGAGTAATTATCTATTGTTTTTTTTCTTTAATGAAAACCAAGGTCATACTCTGTGTTAGACAAAACAGCAGAAGATCTTATCCATTGTTTGTGGAGTTAAAACATTGCTCTCCGGATTCTGTGTTGCAGGCTTTGCCGAGCTGCAGATGGATAAATTGGATGTGGTTGATAGTTTTGGAACCGTACCCTTCCTTGACTACAAACATTTTGCTTTGAGAACTTTCTTCCCTGAGGTAAAACAACATTGATCACCATCCTCAGGTTGAGCCTTGAATAATAATGCAAGATCCTGCCTTAAGTTCAAGCTGAGCAGGGAAGAGGATAATTATTAGTTGCATTGATTAGGGTAAAATGCAGCAACAGGCTGCTGGAGATTACTCTTTGCCTGGTACCAAAACCCTAGTAGGAACCGAAGTTTAGAGTGATGGCTTTTGCTTAATTTTTTACTACCCGTTTCGAACTGAATTTGTTGCTGGGAAGTGAGCTAATTCATTTAAAAATCAATAAATTGTGGGGCTCACCAATTTGTTGTGTTTATCTGCCTGTCTTGCATGGCCGCTCCTAGATTAGTCACTATTATTTTTCAATTGGAAACGAAAAGTGGGACTAGCCATAAAGAAAGAAAGTAGACACGCCGGGAATTTGGGTTGATGGCTGGCATTTTTAGCTAGGTAGAGGTTTTATGGATTGTTTTTGGGCAGCTGTTGTTTAGCGGATCAGTTTGTAGCTTCCCGGTTTAATAGACATAGGCATATGAGCTGAGCTGTGAGTTGTTCTAGAGCCTCACGGAGTGGTGTACAGAGCCTTTGGGTTGCTGCTCCCACCTCTGTTCTGACACCTCCATTTCCTCACTCATTCTGTACTCTTCATGCACCCTCCCAAGCCTCTGGCAAAGCACTCACTCTTCTGTCTCATTGGCCCCATGTCCTGATACCTCAGCTCTATCACAGTGCTCTGGTGATCCCAGAGAGACACCCCCTCCCCACCCAGGGACACATTAACCCCAATGACCGTATCTGTAGCATGAATAATAAAAGACCAGAGCAGCTGAAGATGAGAAGAAAAGCCGTCAGGCGAGAACTCTCACCTCTACCAATGCTCAGTCAAAGAGTCAATCCACCGACTCTCAGACTGCCCTCAAATGCACTGCTCCTCAGACTCACTGAGTCTGCAATGTGCTCCTGCCTCCTCCTGCCTTACATTCCTCTGTAGTGCTGGGATTAAAGGCATGGGATCCCAAGTCCTAAAATCACCTTCGTGTGAGCTCTGTTGCTCTTAGACTGGATTAATTTCATATAGCTCGGGGTGGCATTGTACTAATAGAGAGATCCATGTGCCTCTTTTTCCTGAGTGCTGGGAATAAAGGTGTGCTTCACCGCTACCTGGCCTCTATGGCTAACTAGTGTGGTTAGCTCTGCATTCTGATCTTCAGGCAAACTTTATTTGTTATATCATAAACAAAATATTACCACACATATTTAGATTCAAGGTTATCAGCAAAGTTAGAAATCTCTTCAAGTCTCATGGGAGGAGTTTTGTATCACCTTGCTAGAAGCATCTCGGCTCTGCTGGCCCAGAAGCCTGGGAACACAGGCACTTGCAGGAAGCAATGTCCAGTTTCTCTACAATTCTAGCAGCAGATGCTATGATTTATAGCATACTGTCAGAGATTAGGACATTGCTCTGCCATATTTGGGGAGGGGCGGGGCTAAGCCTTGGTGTTATAAATCAAGAAGACAACAAATAAGACCAGGTTATCCTCCAAAAGTACCAGGCACCAAGATTTGCTGCCTCATCCATTTGCTGTACCTGGGGAAAGGAGGGAAATTTAAGTCCCTGAGTCAGGGTGATGCCCAGGGCTTCTAAGCAGCTTGCATCATGAGTCCTAGTTCCCAGCTCTCTGAGATCCCCATTAAGAATTTAAAAGCAATAAAATAACAGAGATTTCCAGCATCAAGATGAGTACTGTGTGGGTTTCTACAGTTAATGATTGCCCTTGAGTGCTGAATAGCATAATCTGTGGCCTGGAAAAGAAATTCTCCTATCTTCTGAAGTCAGTAATCAAGGACAAGGCAGAGTGATGAGTGTCCAGGAACACGGTGGCGAGCTGAGTGTGTCAAAGGGAAAGAAAACCCAGCATAACGTGACGTTATTTTAGGCCAAGAGAAAAAAATAGTCACAAGGCACTAAACTGATTTAACTCAGGGTTCAGTGTAACCCTGAAAGGCAAATGGAAAACCATAATGCCAGAAGTCAGAGAAGTCATTAGGAGAGAGGACCCCAGAAGAAACCACCAGGGATTTTTCAGAACTCTCCGAAGGAACCCAAGTCAAAACCGAGTTTATAGGAACAAGAGCGAGGGGACGGCAATGCTGCATGACCAGGCCTCATGTCACACACTCTAGGCAGCAGGTGAGGCTGAGTGCTAGTCACTTTGCTGATTGACCGGGAGTCAGATGCTTTCACCTGGAGAGAACTTGATGATCAATTCCTTCAGGACAGTGAAGGAAGAAGCCTCCCAGTTTGCTACTCCCCTAGCTTACCCCTCTACTGGTTTTGTGCTTGAGACAGGGCCCCAGACAGGACAGGCTGGCCTCAAATTCCCAGAGTCACAAAGAATGACCCTGGACTTCTGGTCCTCCTGTGAGTAGACTAGTTTTTGTTTTTCTGAAAATAGAAGAGATAGGGCAAGCAGAGTATCTAATCTCGTGGAAGCAGGAAATTTGAATGAAAAGGGGAAAGAACTTGGAGTCAGGGAGCCAAGGTACCACCTCCCAACAGAAGGTCAAGAATGAATTGTTGGGCCACAGGAGGGCTCAGAGGATAAAGGCACTTGCCACCAAGTCTGATAAAAGTTCAGCTTCGTGAACTCGTATAGGAGAGAACTCACTCCCAAGAATTGTACTTGCACACACCCATGCGAGCGCAGGCACACACAGTGGCATGCTCTCTCCCTCCCTTCTAAGTAAATGTAATTACAAAAAGCTGTTTTAACTGTGTGAGCCTTACCCTTAGGAGTTAAGTTGCTTGACAAGAGGTCTGACATTTCCATACTCTCCCACCACCATTTCTTTAACTTTCGAGTTCATTCTTTTTAAAATGCAATGTAATCTACCAACAAATGAGGCTGATGTATGCTGATGACTATTCTTAGAGGCTTCCAGAAGTTCTTGAGAACATAATAGTTATTTATTACATCTTGGAGGCTATACAGTAAGCATAAGCCCGGGGCTCTTCAGATTAGCAAATAGCACGTCTGCTTTATTAAAATGGACTTGTATATTATAACAAAAATACACTATTCATTTCCTTTGGATGTTATGAATAATAAAAGTGTCTCCTTCCTCTCAGTCAGGTGGCTTCACACACATCTTCACTGAAGATATGCATGTAAGTCTCTAAGTTTTCATTTTTAGCTCAGTGACTGTCTTTCAGCGTTATCATCACCATTGTCATCATCATGATTATTACTTTGAATTTTTATCGTGGGGTGTTTTTGGATCATGAATTCAATATTAAATAGTTCATTGCTGTGGAAAACCCATTGTGGATCTGCTTTCTAACTTTCAGCTTATATACTATGCTGTTACATTACTGTGACATTATCCTATGTACTATACTGTTGGATTTTTTTTCCCCCTTTCAGAACAGAGATGCCAATGACAAGAATGAGAGTCTCACAGCTTTGGATGCCCTAATCTGTAATAAAAGTTTCCTGGTTACTGTCATCCATACCCTTGAAAAGCAGAAGAACTTCTCAGTAAAGGACAGGTAGGTACATGTTAATGCTTTTGTACTTGATAAGCACTCAAGCAGATACACTAACCCTAGGCACCTGCCAGGTGTGCTGGTGCGCACCTTTAGTCCCAGCATGCTGGAACAGAGTTTGAGACTAGCCTGTGGTCCAGATCTCCTTGTGTCTACCTCTCTGTGAGTTTGAGACCAGCCTGGTCTACAGAACAAATTGTAGGCCAGCCAGGGCTATGTGGTAAGACCGTCTCAGAAACGAATAGAACTGCACGCTACTTATTTTTACCATTGCTTCATTCTTGGAGGACTGGTTGTCAAGAGACTTGTGGATGCTGAATAGGTGCTTCCCACTGAGCTATATCTCTAGCCCTCAAGCTCCTTGTTCTGAAACCGCTGCCTGAAATGCGGTATGCACCTTCCCGGTGGTTAGGGCAGGGCACTTCTGCAGACATGCTGCCTTCAGCCCAACACCAATTCTGTTTTGAAGGCACGCGCGCACGCGCACACACACACACACACACACACACACACACACACACACACCACCCTGTAAAACCCTGAAAAAACCCCAACACCAAAAAAAGAAAAAAAGAAAATTCTTAACCAAAAAAAGCAGAAGTGTTATTTTTAAATTTAAAAACACCGTAAATTTTTGGGAAAGAGATTCACTTCTTGTTGCTAAAGATGTAGAAAATATCCCAAAGTTGAAATTGATGTACAGTTTGTTATTGTTTCATGTACCCACCAGGCTGGGCTAAAACTCACCGTGTAACTGAGGGTGATCTTGAATTACCGATCCTCTTGCCCCTGACTCCCTAGTGCTGAGATGGCAAGCGTTTGCAACCGCATCCAGTATATGCCCTTCTATCCCTAGATATCCCCAAACCAGAGCTTCATGCACGAGGCAAGCAGTCTACCAGCTGAGCTATGCAGGTCCTTAGGCCTGGTGTGTAATTTTATGACGTAAGGAGAGTCGGTTGGAATCTAAACAACACAAAACTGTTCTTCAGGAGACAGTCTCCTGTTGCCAGCAAGATTCCATGGAAACCTGTGATGTCCAGCTGAGCCCAGGGCTTTGCTTCTTAAACAGGTGTCTGTTTGCCTCCTTCCTGACCATTGCTCTGCAAACCAAACTGGTCTACCTGACCAGCATCCTGGAGGTGCTGACCCGGGACCTGATGGAACAATGCAGCAATATGCAGCCCAAACTCATGCTGAGGCGCACCGAGTCTGTGGTGGAGAAACTCCTTACCAACTGGATGTCTGTCTGCCTCTCTGGTTTCCTCCGGGTAAGTGTCACAGGGCTCTGCAGTGTCAGAGGTAAGACAATAGGCAGTTATTTTTAGCACATGCTAGTGTCTTTGTGGATCTAAGTCCAGAATGCTCCATGGTGTCAGCATTTAACTGAACTTGATCTTGGACCTTCCAGATTGAATGGGGGGGGGGATTTGTGGGTCGTTTGTTTGTTTGTTCTGTTAGTGGTCCCTGTACATGTAATTCATTTAGAAATCTCTGAGGCAAGATTTTTTATATATATATGTGAGCTCAACCTTTGACATTAATTGACATCCCTGGTCCTGCTAACCCATTCTGAGACCAAGGAATGAGCAGAAACTTCTTGAGCCTCCAAAGCATGCTTGAAACACTCATTACTCAGGGATGTGCTGACAGCTAATGATGGTCCCTTCTTCCCAGGCATTCGGCATGAAAGCAAATCCCCAGTGAGCCTTCTGTCCTCAGAGTTCGCTTTCTTGAAGTGACATGGAATGTGGTTGAATTTAATTGCATCTTAAAATCTTTCTGAGTGCAAACTCTCTGTGGTTTCCATGGTTAACAGAGTGGGCCTAGGAGCCCAGCGATGGGTCTGGCGCTCAGACAGCTTCATTCCTTACTTAGCATGTTACCTGTGGAGTTGACCAAAGATGAATACTGTAGGGCTTTTTTAAGCGCAGATGAGAAAGTAAGCGCCGTTACTCAGTACTGAGTAAGAACCCCACACACACACACTGGCCATCCTAAAACATTAGGATGAAAATGAGGGTGCTCTCTTGAACTTGGTCTTTGTTAAGCTCTCTGAGGTCCTGGTATGGAAGTTCTTATCCATCTTCAGCTTCACTGGCCATTCAGATTCCGGCAAGACATATTTGCAGCTGGTTTAGAAATCTAATTAAACTCTGAAGAAGATACACTGTTATGCCGCAGGTTTTAACAGGGCTGCTTAAGTTGAGATCCACAAGCAGCCCTTTAAATCAGACTGTGCCTAGTTTAATGTTTAATACAATCTTACGAGTAGATGCACAACGTTTTTTTTTTGTTTTGTTTTGTTTTGTTTTTTTAAATTTACCTACTCTCCCCATTCCCAAGGCAATGGCTGTTTATTAAGATTAATGAAACCTGCCTTCTTTTCTGTTGGCTTGGTATACATCATCTTCTGGGGAGGCGTCAAGTGGTTATTTCTGGAATGAACTGCTTTTGAGTCTCACTGTGGTTGGGTGGGCCATAGCTGCTGCTGAGCACAGGTGGCAGACCCCCTCACCAGGTCCCCAAGTCTTAGTCCTCAGCTGGCCCTGCTGCTGAGCACAGGTGGCAGACCCCCTCACCAGGTCCCCAAGTCTTAGTCCTCAGCTGGCCCTGCTGCTGAGCACAGGTGGCAGACCCCCTCACCAGGTCCCCAAGTCTTAGTCCTCAGCTGGCCCTGCTGCTGAGCACAGGTGGCAGACCCCCTCACCAGGTCCCCAAGTCTTAGTCCTCAGCTGGCCCTGCTGCTGAGCACAGGTGGCAGACCCCCTCACCAGGTCCCCAAGTCTTAGTCCTCAGCTGGCCCTGCTGCTGAGCACAGGTGGCAGACCCCCTCACCAGGTCCCCAAGTCTTAGTCCTCAGCTGGCCCTGCTGCTGAGCACAGGTGGCAGACCCCCTCACCAGGTCCCCAAGTCTTAGTCCTCAGCTGGCCCTGCTGCTGAGCACAGGTGGCAGACCCCCTCACCAGGTCCCCAAGTCTTAGTCCTCAGCTGGCCCTGCTGCTGAGCACAGGTGGCAGACCCCTCACCAGGTCCCCAAGTCTTAGTCCTCAGCTGGCCCTGCTGCTGAGCACAGGTGGCAGACCCCCTCACCAGGTCCCCAAGTCTTAGTCCTCAGCTGGCCCTGCTAAATCGAAAGCCCTGGGCTAATGTCCACCAACCTCTCCTCTGAAAACTCCTTCGGGGAATCCCTGTGGCTGATGTGTACAAATCCCCCCACCCACCCTCGAGGGAGGCAGCAGAAAGTGCTGGCCCTGGGGGGTTTGTTGAAAACTCAAAGCTTGTTATCTGTGGCTGTGGTTCCCAGCCACCCACCTAGCTAGCTGCCTAAATCCCGGGGTTGGTGTGTTCACTGTGAGCATTGTTTTGTTGTTTTGCTTGTTTTTGCCTGCTTGCTTGCTGCTGGTTTGGTTTGGTTTGGTTTGGTTTGGTTTGGTTTGGTTTGGTCTGGTCTGGTCTGGTTTGGTCTGGTCTGGTCTGGTTTGGTTTGGTTTGGTCTGGTTTGGTTTGGTCTGGTTTGGTTTGGTTTGGTCTGGTTTGGTCTGGTTTGGTTTGGTTTGGTCTGGTTTGGTCTGGTTTGGTTTGGTCTGCATCCACTGCTGTGGCTACCCACTCCCACGCCTTCCTTACACTGAGCTCTCAGGAGCCGCTCTTGGGCATGAAAGGAGTGAAGTGTTGAGAAAATCTGGGCTCCAAGCCCAAGCAGCCCCCTTGAGCAAAGCATTCTGGGTCAAGATTTCTTCTCTGTGCTGATTCAAGAGTGTGTGGAGCACTTGGTGGGGAGCCGGGGTGTGGCACGGTGCCCAGGAGGAAGTAGCATCTAGCAGTCCTGGGCAGAACTTTCACTTTCAGTGGAAGAATTCCCTCTAGTGATCAGGGAGCTTGGGAGCCTGACTGCCCTAGGCCTCGTGCCCTGCCCATAGGTGCTGAGTAAGCAGCGACCATCAGGTAACATCCCCTTCCAGGAGTCCGAGGTCTGGTGGGGTCAATAATGACCACTGACATCTATTAAGATCTACTGTTTGCTGTACATGTCAGACACCAGGCTAAGAGCTTGTCTTGTCTTAATGGTCTGGAGAAGGAAGTGCCTTTGTGGCCATTTTGCATATGGGGGAATCGAGGTAAACAGTGCAGATGAGATTCTGTAGGTTCAAGGCTGGCATGGTGGTGGCAGCCTCTGAATGACTTTTGTGAGACAGTCAACTCTGGTCTGTCATCCAAAGACAGAAGACTAGTTTTCTTTCTTTCTTTCTTTCTTTCTTTCTTTCTTTCTTTCTTTCTTTCTTTCTTTCTTTCTTTCTTTTTAGGTTAGAAACAATATTATTTCACATGTCAATCCCAGCTCCCTCTCCCTCCCCTCCTCCCCCACCCTCCCCACCAGGTCCCCCAGCCCCCACCCAATCTCCACTCCGATCACCAAGGAGGGTGAGAGGTGAGATATACTGATGATAAAGAAATCTCATGACCTGTGGTTCCCTAGAGTGGTCAAAAATCAGTCTCTCTGGCAAGATTTTCAAACTGCCTCTGCTACAGAGATCAAGGTTGGGTAGGTGTCCTGTGTGACACATGGGGGCAGGCACCTGAATTATTACAGGGATCCTCAAAAGATGCCAGGGGTGATTAGCTGGGGTTATAATTATGGGCCTGAGTGACACTGCAAAGCCAGACATCACCATACCAGTTTCGAGCATTCTGGAAAATACTGCCTAGAGAGCCCTTACGTTAGTGGCTGTCCCTCTGCCTAGCCCGGGGGGGGGCCTGGCTTCTGTGGCAAGCAGGGTGGATGACGCAGTACCCACACAAGGGCCCCTGGTGTGTCTCTGATGTGTGCAAGGAAGCGGGAAACGAGGCTCCTAGGTTTGTGGTGAGGCCATTACCCAAGGGGGCGGGGGGGGGGGGAAGCAGATAATGGCAAGATCAGGAACCATGAAATAAAGGAAGTTTCCTGTGAGAGCGGGATGTCAGGTACTGGTCCTTTGCCCCTCCTTGGAAACTTTTGAACATCCCTCCTCTGTCCTGCATAAGAAAGACATCAGAGGATTTACAGAGGAGGGGAGAGAAGCAAAGGAAGGCCGGGAGGGGAGTGGACCAGCAGAGGTGGGGTGAGGCGGGAGGGGCAAGAGGAAAGCCCAGGCTTGGGGAGGGCACTGTGCTCGCAGGAAACACACAGGAAGAGGCAGGGGTGAGGGAGGGTGGAGGGCCCCAAAGTGGGGGATCCCTCCTGTTCACAGAGGGTCCCTGCTTTGTAAGCTGCCTTAGTCAGCTATGCAGATGCACTTGGTAACACCGGCTCCAGTTGGAGCCACATAGCTACCTCTCCGTCTCTCCTGAGGCACTCTGGCTCCCTGGCCTGGGCACAGCCCTTCACCCTCCACGGAGAGGCCCAATGCACACAGGTCCTGGAAACCTCACTATTAGGAGGGACCAAAACTGACCCGGGGCTGCATGCCTCAGGAAGACTCACAGAAGGTGAGCACGGCCTGTTCCTGAGCTACCCAGGGTCCCTTTGAACATAGTGGCTGCACATTTGGGCCACCAGCCCCCAATTCAGAGGAAAGTATCCGCAAGGGAAGGCTGGAGACAGGAGGCCCGGGCTGGCCTGAGGGGACCAGGCAGACTTGGTTGAGCGAAGGGCGTGCTGCCCATCTGACCAGGGAGCTGTAAGGGCTGGCACATGGGTATGCCACAGATACAAACAGCTGAAGGGGAGGCCACTTCCCTTACCCAAAACTGCGAAGTCTGACAGGTCACCCTCCTCAGCAAATGTTTAAAACATTTTCACGTTAGTCCCTGTTGCCAAGACTAACCGTGAAGGACTTTTTTTTTTTATGTCACTTATGTTTGGTTTACAATTAAATAGGAACGTAAACAAGGTTAAATCTCTACCTCCACAAACTATTCTTATTGCCTACTGATGAGCAGTAGTCTGCCAGACGGGAACTTAAACATGAAATTACAGGGCCCTCCTGGATGCCTCCCATAGTGTTGGGGGGGTGTGTGCATCCGCATAGCATTCAGGGGTAGCTTCCTGGCTTTCGCTCCTCGGGCATAGCGTGTTGGTTATTAGGATGAACTGCTGCCTTTCACTCTTGGTCTTGGCCCTGGCTTCCCAGGAGAGCTAACTATTGCTTTGGTATCTTTTCCAAGGAGACTGTTGGAGAGCCGTTCTATTTGCTGGTGACGACTCTGAACCAGAAAATAAACAAGGGCCCTGTAGACGTGATCACTTGCAAAGCGCTGTACACCCTCAATGAAGACTGGCTGCTGTGGCAGGTTCCTGAGTTCAACACTGTGGTAAGTGTGCCCAGAGGGCAGGGGGTGCCAGGTGGGTCACCGGAACGGAACCAGGACCCTTCTGACAATGGGGGGCCTCGTGCATCTACTTAATTATAAACAGGGGTTGATGAAATATTAACATGTGTTCATATAATAGATTTTAATTACTTGGATTGGGGAAGAAAGCATTGGTGATGATGCCTGGGATACTCATCAATTTCCAAAGATTTTAATATCAGGATTGCTTATAGCTTTTAGCATCGTCAAAGGAAATGCAAAGTGCTCCCTATTCAGCACTTATAATTGCAATCAGAATTTCTCAAATGGCTCTGCTTGGGGAAGACAATGTGTGAAGATATATTTCAACCAAATTGAGGCCGTCTTATTTTAGAACGATAACACAAGACAAATTTCACTGTGTTCCCCATGCAACATGACGCCTTACTTTATTTTCATGGATTAGTTACAAATGTTTGGTGCCACGCACTTAATGTGCTGTGAGCTCATGGATATTTTTAGAGGAATGCTGTAGATCACTCCAGGAGGATAAGGGGCTGCGAGTTTCAAACACTGGAGAACTTCCTCTTAACCCATTCCTACTCCCCTGCAAAAGAGACAGTGCTTTAGGGCCTTGTGGAGATTTTGTGGCAGAAGCCCTGTGTGGAAACTCTCTCCTGTATGACTCAGGAGCTTTCTAAGCTTTTCCATTCTCATAGACTTGGGGAAGGTCGCTGAGTTTTGGTTTGATCTTTAGCTCTATGGAGACTCTAGGTTTCTTTACCATCTCATTAGTGGAGAGGGAAGAAATGGATTCCAGTGGGATTCGGGAATTGCCCGCTGAAGAGTTAAGGCTCCTGTGGCTTTGCTCTGGGTGGCGAGTCCTGTGGTATCATTCTAGAAGAATTCACTCCCTAATTGAAGAAGGCACCACTCTGCTGTGGACCATATTATGGTTATGTCATGCCTGTGGGTGGGGAGGAGCCAATAGATCAGCTGTTTCCAGTTTCCCTCTTGGCAAATGTAACATCCCCATTAAAGATGGCTGTGTGCTGAGCAGCCGTACAAGATGCAGGAAGCTGCATTGAGAGTGAACACACATAATGGTCATCATCTCTGGGGCAGAGCAATGGTCCTCAAGCGTTAGCATGCATCTCTATTGCCTCTAGAGAATGTTAGACCCATTATTAGGTGACCCTGGATGCAAGTCAGGGGTGTGGTCTAGGATTTACATGTTTAATGTACTTTTAAATTTATTTTTATGTATATATGAGTGTCTGCCTGCATGTATTTATGGTTGCCACGTGGTCGCTGGGAACTGAGTGCAGCCAGTGCTCTTAACCACTGATCTATTTCTCCAAAGATTTGTTTATTCTTAATTATGTGTATGTGTGTGTACATGGGTGTGTGCACACGAGTGTAGGTCCCCACGGAGACCAGAGGCATCTGATTCCTCCAGAGGAGGAGTTTCAGGTGGTTGTGAGCAACCTACCAAGAGTGCTGGAAACTGAACTTGGGTCCTTTGCAAGAGCAGTGCATGCCCTTAACCACTGAGCCCTTCAGCCTTAGGCTTTCCATGGTTAATGTGCTCCTCAGATGCCACTGGAGAACTGCTGGTATGGGACATAAGATTTGAACCTTGCCTCTGCCACCAGCTAGCCAGGCGACACTGAGCAAGTCTCTCCACTTCCTGTTCCTCCTCAGTCCACACCCATGTGTAAAATAAAGGTGATAAAGGTGATAATCTTGTCTGCCCATCGCATGGAGGTGTTATAAAGATTAAGAGAGTATACAGCACACATGCTGCATACACATGCAGATGCATGTGAGTGCACACATACACACAGACAGACATGCAGGCACATGCAAACACACAGAGGAGCTCTACCCTCCCATAGAGATGACACAAATCACCTGGGCATCCCCGACTTACACTGTTGCCTCCTTTCTCACGCTGTGGTCTTTCCTGCTGCTTGACCACCAAGCTCAAAGCAGCACGTGGCCCTCAACGGCAGCAGGAAGAGGCTAGCACCATGCCCTCAGCTTTCCAGAACTATGAACCCAGGCAACCTCTTCCCCATAGAAACCACCCAGCTTCAGGTGAGGCTAACAGCCCTCACAGGGTCCCCAAAGATAAATGTTCACAAGTGGATGTAGTTTTAGGGAATTCAGCAGGATTTCTTTCCATGAAATATTGCACCGGACAGGGAGGAGAGTAGGGGAGGTAGGGCTTGGGGGCAGGGGAGGGGGGGACGTCAGCTGCCTGGAAAAACTTTTGAGGTTGGAGTCCTTTCCAGCGCTTTACATCTGAGCACTTTCTCTCCCTTTCATTCGGAAACATTATTTATTTCACAGTCAATTAAGACCATGTGTTTCTGATTTGTTAGTACTCAACTCATCATCAAAATGTTACTTGATGTTGAAGAAATTCGTGTCGACTCTTGGATTTTTTTTCCCCTTTTATAGCCTCTGGGGGAAATGCAATGGAAAATTAAATCTGTGCACTGTCCTCCTCTGATTCGTGTGCGGTGGAGAGAATGGAGTCTGGCAGACAGGTGGGCCCTGGCTCCTAGGGCCTTTGCCTTTAAGGATGGTTTTCTGATGCCTTTTGTTGGACCTGCTCCAACCTCCCTTTCATGGTGGCTGATTATACTAGAAGCCAGAGAGAAGGCGCATGATCCAGGCTAAGCTTGTGTGACAAAAATGCTACCAGAAGGTCAATATAAAAAATTTAAGGTTTTTCATTTCCTTTCATGCAAGTTCTCCCGGCCTGAATCACTCTGTTTCTATGTTTCCCCTTCTCCGTGTCCTTCCTCCCTCTGTTCCCACATCCCCTCCCCCCACCCTTCCAGGCTGCACTCCTGGTAGCTTTCAAAGCCCTGCTTTGCTAAATTTGCCTGAGGTGGTTTATGTAATTGAACACCAAGGTGTGGTGAACAAATTGGAGTGTGTGTGTGTGTATGTGTGTGTGTGTGTGTGTGTGTGTGTGTGTGTGTGTGTGTGTGTGTGTGAAGGGGGATCAGAAGGCTCCAGAACAGTCACATGAACAACTTGAAATAGCAGAATAGGTGCCATGGCAAGGCCCGTTTGAGAAAAAGCCCATTTGGATGCACCCTCAGAAACGAACTATGAGTTAGGTTTCACACCTCCTAGGTTAGGATGTTTCCTCTCTGAGGTGTAGGGTATTTTCTAGAACATAAAGCCATGCTGCCAGTTTTCTTGTATTTGAAATCATTATACTAACACATCGTTCTGAGAAGTCAGGTTTTGTTCGTCGTATCCAGAGGATAATGCCTCTGACTTGCCTTCGCAAAGCCCTTCAAAAGCCACTCTGGCTCTAGTACCTGGAGCCCCAGGCTGGCATCTGGCAAGTCAAATGGGCCTCAGCTCAGCTCACTCTCGGATGCTTCGGGGGAGGGCTTGTCTGTGCACACCTCCCTAGCCTTCCATCAATGTGTGTGAGTTCAAGGTAGGAGACAGTTCCAGAGGTAAAGTTTGGATCGCCAATACTCACATTAAAATTAGTCTCTACAGCACACCTGTAGTCTCAGTGCTAGGACATGGGACATGCACTTCCGGGAGGCTTTGCTATAGCTCCGGATTCAGTGAGGACACTGTCTCAAAAACTAAGGTGGAGAATTGATTCAAGGAAGTCTGTGGTTTGGCAGGATGGCTCAGCAGTTAAAGGTGCTTGCTGTTAAGCCTGGCAACCTGAGTTCAGCCCTTAGCACCCACGTGGTGGAAGGAGAGAGCTTGTCACCTCAAGTCATTCTCTACCCTACACACACACACACACACACACACAGAGAGAGAGAGAGAAATTAATAAATAAATGTAATTTGAGTTCAAAGCCATCCACAGCTTGCATAAGAAGTTTTGGGCCTGTCTAGGCTACACAAGATCCTGTCTGAAAGAAAAAGAGAAGACTGATCCCCACACGCCCTCACACACCGCCCATGAGTTCAGAGTTGGCAGTCCTACTGATCCTGTTTTCCCCCACTGCACAATTGAGAGCTTGAGAGGCTGCTGAGTGCCTGACCCTCGCCCACACTCCTGCATGTCAGGAGCATGGTTGGCACGGCAGAGGGCCTGCAACTCGGAGGATTTCAGTTCCAGGAAAGTGTACCACATGGGAGAAGGGACATTCGCCTCTGTTTCAGGAGGAGATGAGAAAAACCAATAACTCGTAACAGGCGTGCTGAATTAGCAGGCGGAGTTTGACTTGTAATCAAAGTTAAGCAAGAAATGGTTTTTTGAACTCTTAAACCCAGGAAATGAGCTTGCCAATCTGCTGTATCAGAGAGATAGCATCTTGGCACCCTGGGAAAGTGTTCCGACAAACACATTATTACACTCATTCTCATATCTGCACGAAAGTCTTTAAGATTATTAGAAATTCTTGACAAAGCTCAAGGACATGCCTGCAGAAAGTGTTGTGGACATTGTTATGTCTGGAAGGTTTATGCCAGCCGATAGCAAGTCAGCCTTCTCCCCAGTGGCTACCCTTTGGGGACAAGCATAGTTAATACAACATTCCATATCTAGCACACACTGGCTATCCCCAGCAGGAGTCTCTGTGCTCTCCCTACCTCTCTCAGGCCCCTTAGGTTCCATTCAACTTGTCCTTGCAGAAGATCCATTATCCCCGTAATTAAACAACCCACTGTCCCGATTAAGTCATTCGCTGTTACTTCAATTACATCCCATTGTTCATTAAGTCCTGATGTTTGCGCTTCAGCAATCTTGTTTTTAATACTCGTAGCATTTGTGGAGAAACAGTGAAGTTAATTAACAATTCTTAAGCTCCCTTTTCTCTTTTTTTTGTACCATAGTGCAAATCATTTCCATTATGACTTGAGATAATGCTGAAACCATTACTAGCTTCATGGTTAGCTTCCTGATCAAAGAGAGAAAGCATTTTTTATAATCGTGTTAGGTAAGTCATTCCCTAGTCGATGGCAAGCTGTGGAAAATGAAAAATTAACTTGAAATGAGTGCTTTCAATGGCTCTCCTCTTCATG